GTTGTAGCAACTTGGAGCTTTCTTAGTTTCACCTGGCAGTTCAGTAGAGAATGGCAGGATGAAAGGGGAAAAAAGAGAGAAGGGATTGTGTGATGGCAAGAGTAGCTTTTTGTACTGGTGACACTGGGAAACAGAAAAAGGCAGAGCGGGGAGGAGATATGGAGATGGGACAAAATGAGAGCAGTTTCCCTTGATAAATGTGTTCACTTCAGCATCATTAATTCAAATATTTTACTCAACCAGTCCTCAGGGAGGGAGGTAGTGTTTTATGAAAGCATACATCGGTGTTCTTTCATTTGTGTCATATGCTATGTTCATTGACTGCATAGGTGTTCATTGTGGTTTTGTTTTCATCCAGCTTCAGTTTAATGCCTTTATGCAACACAGAATTTGGTTTGTGTATTTTACTGCTTCTGAGCTTTGCAGATATTGGGGAGAGTGGGAGAGAGATTTCCAAAGGCACAAATGGGAGTTAGGCATCTAATACCCATTGGAAGTCCGTGGAAGTTAAGTGCCTAACTGGCATTTATGCCTTTGGACATCTCCCCCATGGTTTAGACTAGAAACCCCAATGTCCTCTCCTGATCTTGGGGTCATGGTGAGTTACTCCAGTCATCTCTGAATTATGTTTTCTTGAGTTTCAAACAGGTTGAACTTGAAATGTGTCTGTAACACCATCCAGAACATATTACCAATCAACAAGTTTCTGGCAATTAAGTTAGCCCATGTCACAACAGAGGAGGAGGTTGAGTATGTAGGTTTAACCAAAACAAATTGCCTCCCAATATTGTGTTTGAACAATATTTATAAGCAGGGTCTCCTTCCCTTTTGTCCTTTTCCTATCTCTTCCTTGCCTGATTTTTCCTTATCTTGTTTCCATCTCTCCAGAGATGAGCCCAAGCTAAAACCCTGCATTCGAATGACTCCATCAAGTTTGTAGAAGTTTGAATCTGAACTTCACAGCTGGGATCTATCTCTCCTTGCATACCTCAGAGCAGAGAAAATGGCAAGTGTGGGTAGGGGAGGACTTGTGAATCATATGGAGGCATTATGTAGCCACCACCTGCTCCTGTGCACCAGTTAGGTTGCAGAACCATAATGCACAAAAAAGAGGGGAGGGGGAAATTCAGTGGGCAGGGAACATCTGGTATTGTCCATTGGAAAACATAGCAAATTATGCTGAAATATATGGCTCTGGGTAATTATGACCCCTGATGCTCACTCTGTGCCCTATTAACCCCAACGGAGAGATCATATAGAGAGTGGGGAGGCAAAAGCAGCATGCAATGAAACCAGCCATGCTACCAGTGCCAGGAAATCCACAGAGGCTGGGAAGCTGAGCAGGTTTGCTCAAGGTTCCAAAGTGTTTGGACTATCATTATTCCTGGGTTCTTTGCCTGTGTGCCACACCCCTCTGCCTCTTCTCCAATGCTGCCTATCCTGTGTTACAACGGGGAGGATGTGGCGCAGCTGCAGCTTTTCAGAAACGACTCACCTTTTGGGCGAGTGACTTCTTTCCTATATCCATGGGTGGGGAATATATGTCTCTAGGAATCTGTGATTTATAGATGCAATGTCTTAGAAGTTCATTTCTACCTAATGGGATTCTGCTAGATATTTCCCATTTTTTCTACCAGATTGCATTTGACATTCAGCATCAGGGCCGTGCACAACAGCTCCAGTGGAGGTTAAAGTTTACACGTCAGAAGGAAAGTCAAAATAGCATTTTGATAAAATGGCTTAAATTATTCCTCTTCAGGCAAAAGAACTAGTGGTCTGTAAAGCACAAAGTGCAGAGTCAGCGCAAAGGTGAACGTCAGCTGGAGAAAGCTTGGCAGCTTTTCAGAATCTGGCAAAGTCCTGAAAATAAGAAAGGGAAACATTTGTCTTGTTTACTGCTGCAGGTGTGCTTTATGCTGTGACTTGCTGCTAGGAGGGAAAAGTACAGTAATAAGAAAAAGAAAGGGGTGAAAATGGTTTCCATTTTGGCACATCATTTCAGTATATCGTTCAAATTCAAATCAGCAAGTCCAGGAGACAACACCTAAAAGATAAGAATTCAACCCAGTGAAGCTGTGCCAGGGAAGGGGAAATATACTCTGATAGTAAGACCAGATCTATAGGAATTGTATAGCTGATTGCTCAACCAGCTAAAGTGTAACTGGAATACTAGAATAATTTAGCCTTTATCTGAAAAGGAGGACAATTTACATGAAAATTCTCTGGAATAGCAATTATTGTAAGTAAGGAAATAAATAAAATGGTGTATGCTATCCTAGAAATAAATGGAGTACTATGTTCTTTTTCAGTGGGTGGCAGAAAGTGAATGGAACATGGAACAGAGGTAAAGAGGTGGTTCTTAGATATTAAAGACCTGATTCTCCAAGAAAGTGAGCACCTCCTATGAATGGCTCTGCAGAACTCTCAATTAATAAATTGGGTCAGGACATCAATTTGTAGAACATAGTTACACCTATTCAGCTCAAGCTTAAGTTGCTTTCTCAAACTATGCGGCAGACCTCCGAAGGCATGAGAGCTGTAGCCTTTGGGGGGGGGGGGGCGGGCGGGAAAGAGCTCTGGCTGTCAGTCACGAGTGGCTGGGGCTCATGCAGAAGGGCCATGCACATCTGGGAGGTGGGGATAAAGGGGACAGCTGGAGTCCCGGCAGCCTGGGGCTGACAGCTGGAGCCCCAGCCTCTTCTTATTCCCCCACCCCGCCTCAATCCCTCACCGGAGGCAGCCGGCTTGGGCTTTCATTCCCCCCACATCCATCACATGGAAGCGCTGGGGCTCCAGCTGCCAACATCGGGGTAGCAGCAGCAGCACAAAAGTAAGGGTGGCAATGGGACTCTACGTCTGCTGTGAAAAGTGATATTGACAAATATCACTTTTCGCATTGACACCCAGTGGCACTGGAACAGTTTTCAGAGTGGGGGTGCTGAGCTGCAGCTCCCCTTAACCCTGTACACGCTCCTCAGTGGTCCCTCCAGCTAAGGCTGGGAGCAGGGCTGTGGCTTCGGGAGGGGGGACACAGAGAGGGGTAAGGGGGCCGAGGCTGTGGCCACAGCTTGGGGTGGGTGAGGAGGTTGGAGCCAGGAGAGGAGCCCTGGGTATGGGGCCAGAAGCAAACCCCAGACACGGGGCCAGCTGCCAGGACCCCCCATACGCAAAACCTAGGGGTGCTGCAGCACCCTCCACACCTCTACTTCCCACACTTATGTTGCCATCCTTCTGTGTTGCTGCTGGTGTGCGCTGCCTTCACAGCTGGATGCCTTGCCTTCAGAGCTGGGGCAGGGGTGGGAGAGAGAGAGCAGGGACATAAACGACTACAGACACAAAGAAGGGGGGCCCAATTAATACGTTTCAGAACCACTGCTTTAGAGAGTTCCAGTCTCCAGATGATGCCATCTGCCTGATGCCACCTGTGCATTCAGTGCTTTTTCACTCACTTTAATACTCTTAAGATATTCCTATATACATGCACTAATGAATGGGACAGACTTTGAACATGTTGCTGAAAATAGAACTTGGGTCTCTTCTTTGCCTGGTGCCTGATCCAATTCCCTTTGAGATTCCCACTGAAGTCAACGGGAGTAGGATAAGGCATTTTGGCCCACAAGCCAAATGGTACTCCTACTAACGTCAGCCAACAGAGACATAAGAAATATCACAGATTTTCTTTCTTTGGCACAGACAGTTGAGTAAGAACACAATAGGTAGTACTGTTTTCTCTACAAGGATCAATAAGCACTCATTGGGAATTGTGGAAGGTACAAGAATGTTTGTATAATAGCGTTCCTTGTTACAAACAATACATTTCACTGCCTAAGGTTCTATATTGGAAGCAACACTTTAAACTGCATCTTCTTAATCATTGCCACCCGTATATAAAGAAAAAGATATAAAGGGCCAGCTTCAAAACATACTACTGAAATTCCAGATCAATTGAGGGGAAAGCCTCCCCAAATCTGTTGAGGGGAAATGGATGCTGTATTGTTATTCTTTTGACTTTAAAACGAGAAATGGGCCATGAAAAATTGTTGCAGCCAGTTTCCAAATTCTTCCTAGTTAATGCAGCATGTACATCACAACACTAAATAAATGAGGCTTTGTATGCCTCTGCACACTGCTAGGCCAATTCAGCTGTTATAAGAAATAAAATACCTGCATTTCTAGCATGCCTTCCATTTGAAGATCTCAGAGAACTATAAAAACATGAATAAATTTACCTTTGAAACACCTATGAGCTAGGTAAGTATCCTCAATTCTACAGATGGGGAAACGGAGGCACACAGAGATTGACATGGGCACACAAAGGCTGGGAGGGACAGACAAGGATAGAACCCCAATCTCTTGACTGCCGTTCATGTGCTTTACCCACACATCTTGGGGGTTCTTTTATCTTGTAAAAAATCTTTACAATTTGACTTATTTTATCTTCATTAAGATGAGCCTTTGAGGCTTGATTATCCGCTGTACAAAGAAATGCCTACAGTATTTCTTTCCTTGTGGAATCTGTACAAAGAGGGGTTGAAATCTTACATTTTTATCAATTCAAGGAACACCACATTGAAATCATTGCCAGCAATTAAACGATGAGGCCATCTACTTACGGCAACCACATATTTCAGCGTTCTTTCTGCAGCAGTTTGGTGAAGCAGAATGACGAAAAGACTAAAAGCGAAGCAAAAACTCCTGGACCTGCATGGAAGCTGTGTCGTTCCCATCCTGCAGCAGCTGAAAAAGCTTTGTAGCTATAGTAGCTCTTCAGGTTTATCAGCCTGAAGTGAAGCTGTACTTTCAAAAGGACAAAAGGGGTGGATCTGCTTCCTGTGCATTTCAAATGCAGGAGAAACTTGGAAGTGATTATGTAACACATCTATCCTTTCAAATCATTTTCTTTCCAAGTTGCTGTTTCCATTCTTTTTAACCTAATTCAGTGTTGCCAACTCTCATGATTTTTGTGATGAGTCTCACGATAATTATGGTTTTCCTTACAGCCCCAGCTCCTGGAGTCAAGTGATTACGTGATGATGTCACCCTTTGTTCTTAAAGAAAAAGTGAGTTTCTAGCCCTCGTGGCGGTGGAGAAAGCTTCGAAGTGTGTCCCCAGTGCATCCTAAAGGCTCCAAAAGCAGAAGGCAAGTACAAAGAACGCCAAATCTGTTATTTTTCCATACTCTTGTGATTTTAAGGCCAGTCTCATGATTTTTGTTGAGCCTGACTCATGCTTTCTGAACATTTTGGGTTGGGAATACTGTGGTTTTGTTTTTTCCCATGTGATTTTTTTGGGGGGGTTTAAAATAAGGGGGTCATCATTCCATAAATAACCAGATTTGCAGATTTTTGCATCTCTGCTTTGTCTATATTTTTCAGTTTTTGGACACTTTGCGGGAGGCAATACGGCTTGGAGAAATAAGCGCTGAACTAGGAGAAGGGCAATCCTTAATTCCCTTTCCTCCCTCCCAGTCACCTCTCCTCCCACTTCACCAGTATTTTAAGGCCTTTCTTCCATTCCCCCACCATTCTCTTCCTACTGTCTAACTCAACTTCCCATGACCAGGTCAAACTACTTTTTAAAAATAATATAAACAAAAACTAAAATATACTAAAACTACCCAGCTCCCAACAACTGTAATCTAACCTCCTAGATGCATGTGCAGCGCTGAGCAACAGTACAGTAGAACCTCAGAGTTACCCACACCAGAGTTATGAACTGACCGGTCAACTACAAACCTCATTTGGAACCAGAAGTACACAATCAGGCAGCAGCAGAGACAAAAAACCAAACCAAAACAAAAAAGCAAATACAGCATTAAACGTAAACTACTAAAAAAATAAAGGGAAAGTTTAAAAAAGATTTGACAAGATAAGGAAACAGTTTCTGTGCTTGTTTCATTTAAATTAAGATGGTTAAAAGCATTTTTCTTCCGCAGAGTAAAGTTTCAAAGCTGTATAATGTCAATGTCCAGTTGGGAACTTTTGAAAGAACAACTATAACATTTTGTTCAGAGTTACAAACGTTTCAGAGTTACGAACAACCTACATTCCCGAGGTGTTCCTAACTCTGAGGTTTTACTGTGTGATCTTGTACTTGTAACCACTTGCCTCACTTTCTGCTGCAAGCCTGTTTTACCCCTTTGTACCAATTTGTGTTCTGTCTTATTTAGGCCCCAATCCTGCAATGAACGCTGTGTGGGTGGATCCCTGAGCTCACACTGAGCCCATTGCAGAATCGGGACCATAGATTGTGATCGATTGGTTGCAGACTGTGCCTGTAAAGTGCCACGTACATTTTAGACATGATACAAACAATGAATCATAATTATAGTTCTGGTTCTGAAATTGAATCACTGGCTTTGAGCAGGTTATGTAACTTTCCTGCCTCAGCTTTCCCCTCTATAAAATAGGTACAATGATGCTTTCACACTCCCCTCCTAAGGGCTGTGTGCAGAATAATTAGTGCTGACAAAGTGCTAAAAAAGCACCAAGTATTATTATCGGTAATGATTTCTTGGGAATTGTCCAAAGTCACTCCCAAACATGCCTTGGTGTCCTCCATTGAGCTCCTGCAGTAGTGATCTCAGGACTGGGTACAAAGTACCCCTTACCATTTTAATTTTGCTTTATAATGTATCAAGAAGCATCTGGCACCCTATAAGTCACAAGGCGTTCAGAGCTCCATCTGGTATCCCTCTGCGACATCTCCATCTGCCCCAACCTCTCTGCAGTTCTGTCTGCAGATAATTTTCAGCTCTTGCTTCAACTTTTTTCTTCCTCCATCTGTATTTCCCTGATCTCCCGTTGGCCTCTGCTTGCTTGGAAGTGAGTATGCGGGGCTAGGGTTGCCAACTTTGTATTTGCAGAAAACCGAACACCCTTTCCCCACCCCTGCCCTGCCCCTTCTCTGAGTTCACCCCCCCTCACTCCATCCCACCTCTCTCTGTCGCTTGTTCTCCCTCACCCTCACTCACTTGCTCATTTTCACCTGGCTGGGGAGGGGGTTCGGGTGCGACAGGGTGTGGGCTCTGGGTTGGGGCCTGAAATGAGGGGTTTGGGGGGCTAGGGCAAGGGGTTGGGCTGTGGGAGGGGGTGAGGGCTTTGGCTGGGGGTGTGGGCTCTGGGGTGGGGCTGGGGATGAGGGGGTTGGGGTGCAGAAGAGGGGCTCCGGGCTGAGGCAGAGGGTTGGGGTGTGGGAAGGGGAGTGCAGGCTCCGGGGTGCAGGGATATCCACGTAACATGGAAGGGGAGGGATGGAGATGTCTATTGCAGCTGGAGAAGTAAGTACTGATGTCTGGTTTCAGAGTAACAGCCGTGTTAGTCTGTATTCGCAAAAAGAAAAGGAGTACTTGTGGCACCTTAGAGACTAACCAATTTATTTGAGCATAAGCTTTCGTGAGCTACAGCTCACTTCATCAGATGCATACTGTGGAAACTGCAGAAGACATTATATACACAGAGACCATGAAACAATACCTCCTCCCACCCCACTCTCCTGCTGGTAATAGCTTATCTAAAGTGATCACTCTCCTTACAATGTGTATGATCATCAAGGTGGGCCATTTCCTCCACAAATCCAGGTTTTCTCACCCCCGCCCCCCACAAAACACACACACACAAACTCACTCTCCTGCTGGTAATAGCTTATCCAAAATGACCACTCTCCCTACAATGTGTATGATAATCAAGGTGGGCCATTTCCAGTATAAATCTAAGTTTAACCAGAACGTCTGGGTGGAGGGGTAGGAAAAAACACAAGGGGAAATAGGCTACCTTGCATAATGAGTTAGCCACTCCCAGTCTCTATTTAAGCCTAAATTAATAGTATCCAATTTGCAAATGAATTCCAATTCAGCAGTTTCTCGCTGGAGTCTGGATTTGAAGTTTTTTTGTTTTAAGATAGCGACCTTCATGTCTGTAATTGCGTGACCAGAGAGATTGAAGTATTCTCCGACTGGTTTATGAATGTTATAATTCTTGACATCTGATTTGTGTCCATTTATTCTTTTACGTGGAGACTGTCCAGTTTGACCAATGTACATGGCAGAGGGGCATTGCTGGCACATGATGGCATATATCACATTGGTGGATGTGCAGGTGAACGAGCCTCTGATAGTGTGGCTGATGTTATTAGGCCCTGTGATGGTGTTCCCTGAATAGATATGTGGGCACAGTTGGCAACGGGCTTTGTTGCAAGGATAGGTTCCTGGGTTAGTGGTTCTGTTGTGTGGTATGTGGTTGTTGGTGAGTATTTGCTTCAGGTTGTGGGGCTGTCTGTAGGCAAGGACTGGCCTGTCTCCCAAGATTTGTGAGAGTGTTGGGTCATCCTTCAGGATAGGTTGTAGATCCTTAATAATGAGTTGGAGGGGTTTTAGTTGGGGGCTGAAGGTGACGGCTAGTGGCGTTCTGTTATTTTCTTTGTTAGGCCTGTCCTGTAGTAGGTGACTTCTGGGAACGCTTCTGGCTCTATCAATCTGTTTCTTCACTTCCGCAGGTGGGTACTGTAGTTGTAAGAATGCTTGATAGAGCTCTTGTAGGTGTTTGTCTCTGTCTGAGGGGTTGGAGCAAATGCGGTTGTATTGCAGAGCTTGGCTGTAGACGATGGATTGTGTGGTGTGGTCAGGGTGAAAGCTGGAGGCATGTAGGTAGGAATAGCGGTCAGTAGGTTTCCGGTATAGGGTGGTGTTTATGTGACCATTGTTTATTAGCACTGTAGTGTCCAGGAAGTGGATCTCTTGTGTGGACTGGACCAGGCTGAGATTGATGGTGGGATAGAAATTGTTGAAATCATGGTGGAATTCCTCAAGGGCTTCTTTTCCATGGGTCCAGATGATGAAGATGTCATCAATATAGCTCAAGTAGAGTAGGGGCGTTAGGGGACGAGAGCTGAGGAAGCGTTGTTCTAAATCAGCCATAAAAATGTTGGCATACTGTGGGGCCATGTGGGTACCCATAGCAGTGCCGCTGATCTGAAGGTATACATTGTCCCCAAATGTAAAATAGTTATGGGTAAGGACAAAGTCACAAAGTTCAGCCACCAGGTTAGCCGTGACATTATCGGGGATAGTGTTCTTGACGGCTTGTAGTCCATCTTTGTGTGGAATGTTGGTGTAGAGGGCTTCTACGTCCATAGTGGCCGGGATGGTGTTATGAGAAAGATCACCGATGGATTGTAGTTTCCTCAGGAAGTCAGTGGTGTCTCGAAGGTAGCTGGGAATGCTGGCAGCATAGGGCCTGAGGAGGGAGTCTACATAGCCAGACAATCCTGCTGTCAGGGTGCCAATGCCTGAGATGATGGGGCGCCCAGGATTTCCAGGTTTATGGATCTTAGGTAGTAGATAGAATATCCCAAGTCGGGGTTCCAGGGGTGTGTCTGTGCAGATTTGATCTTGTGCTTTTTCAGGAAGTTTCTTGAGCAAATGCTGTAGTTGCTTTTGGTAACTCTCAGTGGGATCATAGGGTAATGGCTTGTAGAAAGTAGCGTTGGAGAGCTGCCGAGCAGCCTCTTGTTCATATTCCAACCTATTCATGATGACAACAGCACCTCCTTTGTCAGCCTTTTTTATTATGATGTCAGAGTTGTTTCTGAGGCTGTGGATGGCATTGTGTTCTGCACGGCTGAGGTTATGGGGCAAGTGATGCTGCTTTTCCACAATTTCAGCCCGTGCATGTCGGCGGAAGCATTCTATGTAGAAGTCCAGTCTGCTGTTTCGACCTTCAGGAGGAGTCCACCTAGAATCCTTCTTTTTGTAATGTTGGTAGGGAGGCCTCTGTGGATTAGTATGCTGTTGAGAGGTATTTTGGAAATATTCCTTGAGTCGGAGACATCGAAAATAGGATTCTAGGTCACCACAGAGCTGTATCATGTTCGTGGGGGTGGAGGGGCAGAAGGAGAGGCCCCGAGATAGGACAGCTTCTTCTGCTGGGCTGAGAGTATAGTTGGATAGGTTAACAATATTGCTCGGTGGGTTGAGGGAACCATTGCTGTGGCCCCTTGTAGCATGTAGTAGTTTAGAAAGTTTAGTGTCCTTTTTCTTTTGTAGAGAAGCAAAGTGTGCATTGTAAATGGCTTGTCTAGTTTTAGTAAATTCCAGCCACGAGGAAGTTTGTGTGGAAGGTTGATTTTTTATGAGAGT